GATAAGGTGTCTACACTCCTGATTACCAAGTATTAGTAATACCGTCGTACATTAGCCTGTTGAAATTTTCAGTTATAAAAAGTTTAACCAAATAAACAAAGGAAATGATGACAAATGAAAGCATGTGATGATTGGTTTAAACCTCAAAGTGTCTAATTAGCCAATAACAATAAATAAGTAAAGGACAAAACTTGCTAAAATGGCCCCGGAATATTACCAAGCAGATTCCGGCCGGCCAGCCTAATAATCCCTCGTCGTTTCTACGCCTGAAACAAAAATGTCTTTCTCACCTCGGGCACCACGGGCAGCCCCGTCGTCACATCTGGATTTTGCCCTACCTGCCCACAATCAGCTTAATTTTTATAATTCATTTTTGGCAACATTTTCTTATTTTGGCAACGATACATTATAGGATCGCTTGCGCTTATGCTTATTAACTTATTGATAGTTAGTGACATTAAACAGTAACCCATCAATGATACAGCTTTCGCTGACATTATTAAATAATTAAAGTAATAACTTTAAACAAAAACTATCACAAATAAGTAAACAAAGTGAGTGAAATTGACATTCAATTTGCTTTTACTAAATCAATAAATTTATTTGAGTCAATTTCTCCTTTAAAATTTGTATACGAGTGAAACCGCACCCATAAGCCGGCCCGGTTTCAGATAAAATAAATCGAGTAAAGGACGCGACTGCAAGGAACCGAAATCGAGGTAAGAGACTCATTGAGTCAGGCACCGGGGGCACGACGTCCGCCCTCGAGTATATCGAGGCCATGGCCCCGTGATCTGTCCAAATCCCAAGAGACTTCGGAAAGCATTATTGAGCATTCGAACTCGATTAACGGAAGGTCATAATATCCGCAACCAACCGGGTATCACAGCGCATATCTCGGCACGTACCGGCGGGAATCCAGTAATCAGTTCAACGGGAGATTTTTTACCTTTTATAAAATAGTACTTAGGGTAAATTTCCCCTACTATACAAAGAGGAGTCCGATTATTCATTAAGGACATTGTAACATGCATCCCAAAGCAATACACTGTTATTTTCACTGTTATTCATAACTCTTCTTCTTGTTCATCAGTATTGGCTATTGTGAGCCCGGATTTAGGGTAAATATTTCACTAAGGCTGGAATCATCCTCCTCACGTGGTTTGAATTTACTATATCTTTATTTGTTCAATCTAACTCAATTTATCGTTTTGTATCAAATTAATCTGCATATCGTTAAAACCACTTACAAATTTAATTGTTATCCGATTTTGAGGGTAAACAGTTTGGCGCCCACCGTGGGGATAAGGATAATAGTGGCAATTTGATATAAATTTATATAATGCACCATATTTTACACTTGTTCTTTGAAGTGTCTTTAATTTCAGGTCAAAGTTCAAAATGTCGAACTCCTAGTCTGCACGTCTAAATGTGGACGCTGAGTCCGGTCACCACAGCGAGAACAAACAATATGGTGCCCAGTGGTGAGGTGCCACCTGTCGATCCCATCAAAATTACGGTCGCAGACCCAATTGATGCTAACTCACATGTGGCCATCAATGCGAATCTGCCTACCGATCCTTAGAACACCGTCCGCGGTGGAGTCCGATCGACAACCCAAAATACACACGACATTGGAGGAGATGGGATCAACTTGCAAGTGATCTTCGAAATGCTACAAGTTCAACAGGGAGTGATAAGCCAGCTGCAGAATCAAAGTCGTGCTCCCAGCAGAATTCAGCCAGAGCCGTCCAGGAAAATCACTCGCACAAACAAACCAATCACGGAGAGGCCGAGTGAAGCTGAACCTGGGACTAACCCCTAAATCATAAAAATGCTCGAGGAACTGACAAAACTGGTAGAATCAAGAGAAAAGAAAATCGAAGCCAATGACAAAACGATGGAAACTTACAATTCCAGGGTCGACCAGATCCTAGGAGTGCCACCGATATTGAAGGGTCTGGATTCCAAGAAGTTTGTTCAGAAACCTTTCCCTCCGAGCGCAACTCCGAAGCCAACCTTAAAGAAGTTATGCATGCCAAAAATTCCAAAGTACAACAGAACAACCGACCCAAATGAGCATGTGACCTCCTACACGTGCGCCATCAAAGGGAACGACTTGGAGGATGATGATGATCAATTATATATTGCGCAAAAATTTATTTTTTGCGCAAAAATACGGAAAAATACGGGAAACTATTTTAGAATCCCGCAAAATTTAGAATGCGGGAAGATTTTTGCGCAAAAATACGGGAAACTATTTTAGAATCCCGCGAAATTTATTTTTTAAGAAACCGACCGAAATCGGTCGGTTTTTCATATAAAATAAATATTCAAAAAACCAACCGAAATCGGGCTGAGGAAGAAATGATTCTAACTTAGATATGGTCTATTTAAACTTATGTGACATTATTGTTAGATTTTTTAATTAAATGTAATGCCATGTCATTCTTTTATTAGATATTTTATAGGTTTTGAACTAGAATGACTTTTAAGTTACAAAGTTAAAGTTGAATAACTTTTAAGTGATGAAAAATAGATAAGTGACTTTTGTGAAATAAATGATAAGTTGGATGACGTTCAGTGAAATTAACCCCTCGTAAATAAGCATACTTGGTTTCCTCTTTTTGACTCGAAATGAAGGAAGCTACCATCTATTTATGTTCAGCATCCCTTTAATTTGACCAGGTAATAGCAAAAGTTTGTGCAAATGTATAGGTTCTCCTAACTATGGCCTAGAGAAGCCAATTTGTCCTCAACTTAATTAGTCTTTCTGAAACAGTGGTAGGTGAAAATTCTTTGTCTATTAATGAGCTTCCTAATTTCTTGGACTGCCTCTTTGATTCTCCACGGAATCGACTAGCTGCTAGAGATACAATTTTGCAGCAACAGGGAATCGGTTTCACCAATGATAAAGTTATATCTCATTTCGATGCACCACTTGATCCCAAACAAGAAAGCTCTAGCCTCAGCCCAGTTGCTAGTACCTTGACTCAAAGGGATAGAGTATGTCATGATAAATTTGCCCATACTATCCCTAACTATACCACCTCCTCCACATTCACTATTTCTCACTACTAGAAATTTGGCAAAAACCGACCAAGGTCGACCGACCAACTTTGGTCGGTAAAAAAACCGATCAAAGTTGGTCGGTTTTTCAAAATATTTTTTTTTTTTTTTTACGAAACCGACCAACTTTGGTTGGTTTTCTTTGGCGCAAAAATGCGGGAAACTATTTTTGAGTCCCGCGAATTTTATGTTTCAAGAAACCGACCAACTTTGGTCGGTTTTTCAATTAATATAAATAAAAATTAATATTAAAAAAACCGACCAAAATTGATCGGTTAATTCGGCGGGTCATTTAAAAAAACCAACCAACTTTGGTCTGTAATTTTACTTTTTAATAAAACCGACCAACTTTGGTCGGTTATTTTCGTGCTAAAATACAATTAAAGAGTATAAATCAAATAAAAGACAGTCTTAAAACAAAATGTACCAATGATCTAGTGGTAGAATAGTATCCTGCCACAGTACAGACCCCGGTTCGATTTTCAGATGGTGAATCTTTTTTTTACATAATTAAAATACCGACCAACTTTGGTCGGAAAAAACCGACCAACTTTGGTCGGTTTTTTTTTGCAATATTTTTTTTTTTTGAATTTAATTGACCGACCAAAGTTGGTCGGTAATTTCCGACCAACTTTGGTCGGTATTCCTTTCCGACCACAAAAATACCGTCCACACGTAAATGGTCGCGTTTTGGTCGATTTTTGGCCATTACCGACCAACGTTGGTCGGTTTTTTTGGTCGGTTTTTACCAGATTTCTAGTAATGTCTGCAGGAACCATCGCAGTTTAGCTTTACAAACAGAACATGTGGTTTAATCCATTTGACTATTGAAATGTTGGTTTCTCTTAGGGTTAAGTCACCAACTCTGCACAGATTCTCCCAAGCAAAGTTGATCTCAAACTTCTTGAATTTGGCTTTGACAAGCTCCACAATGTTGTAGCTGATCAATGAGATAGATCTTGCCAATGATGGTTTTTCCATTTTTAGAATTGCATCTTGACCTCCATAGTTACCATATCACTATAGGTGGCAGTATCCTGCAGATGTAGGCAAAGATAGACTTATGTGCATTATAGTTCCAACAATTTGCAATCAAGTTTCTCAGAGGCACTCCCCCGTGTAAGATGTCAAGTTTGCCCGCATAGTAATCCCATAGTAGTTTGGGCATGTTGTCCACCGCTGAAAAGATGTTGAGCAATCTTTTCATTATGTTGCATATTTTTATCTGTACAACAACAATACTTAGAAACAATGTTAGTATCAAATTCCATTGACCATCTATTAAGACTTCATTGACTTTAATAGTATCCTGTATGTCATCTCTTGCCATTCTACTGTGAAGATGACCAAGTTTAAACCAATTGTCAAACAAAAAACTAACATTATCATTCCTCGCTTTCCATTGGACGAAAGGCTCTATTCTACTCTTTATTTTACACATGGACTTCCAACTGTGAGATTGCCCGTTCCTCCATTGAGATTTGACTGGATGCCCATCGGTATAATATTTGGCTTTCATAAATTGTGCTTCATTTCTCGATTAATCTTTCTCTACAAAACTTGTTAAGAAATATAGAAGACTAAAATATAATTATTCTTGCTTTTGTTTAAAAAAAAATTATTTTTATATATAAAAATACATGAGTACTTTATATTCTTTTTTTTTTTTTTTTTTTTTTTTTTGTCATAAGAGTACTTTATATTCATCAAGAACAAGAAATATTCCCTTTAATGTAATTTTATAGAGTATAACTTTTTTCACACAAAAAAAAAAAAAAGGGTTTGTCAATGTCCTTCTCACCTCGGGCACCACGGGCAGTCATATGGGCAGAACTGACATCCGGCTCGCGGTCAGCTTTAAATAATTCACTTTCACAACCCTATTTCTCCTCTCTTCCCCATCTAACATTAATTATATTTTTCCTCTTAACAAAATATTCCAGAAATTCAAAAAAATTAAAAAATCACTTCGCACTCAGAGAGAGAGAGAGAGAGAGAGAGAGAGAGAGAGAGAGAGAGAACCAAATTCGAAGATCTCATCAAAAAGGAAAACGAAGAGAGATCTTTTACAGCTCTGTAAGATTGTTAGTCAGTTTTTTTCTGTGAAGATCGTTATTTTTTTCTTCAAAATTCTCTTCCTTTTTTAATTTCTCATTTTTAGCAAAATTTGATGGAAAAATTGGGTATTTTATTGAGTTTTAAGGTGGGGTTTTTATTGTATGGAAGTTTTAGATTGAAGTTTTGGTTTTGATTTATAACAATTGGTGTGTGATTTTTACACATGCAACTAGGGTTATTTTCTTGATAAGGTAAAAGTGTTGACTAGAATGATTTGGAACTAACTTTTTTCTTCAAAAATTATTTCTTGTAGCTGAATTTGATGTAAATTTCAGGTGATTTTGTTGAGTTTTATGGAAGGTGAAAAATGTTTAGTCTTGGAGCTGAAATGATGTCTTTTATTTAAAGGGTGTGTTTCCCAGCTAGTGAAATGATTTGTTTTTTTTAATTCAGAGCATTTTAGCTTGTTGTTGAATTTCTTGGGGTAAAATTGCTTATAAGTTTTTGAATTTAGAGAAATAGGTTAAAAATGTGGAAATTTAGCTGTTTTAGGAAAATTTTAATCTTAGTTTACTGAATTATGAGTTTTCCTTTTTAATAAATGGGTTAGAAATGTTTCTTTAATGATGAGTTAATAATTATTGATAGATTGTTGAAGCTAATTTTTGGGCTGTTTAAGGCTTTGAGATGCTTGGTGGTAAAATTGTTATTTCTCCTTAACATTTTTCATACATCAGAGAAAGAAAATTTTAGGTTAAAACAGTGTACTTAAAGTAAACAAAGGAAATTTATAACTTGGTGTTTTTGTACCCCTTGAGTATAAACATGTAGCTTGGTTGTTGGTTCTGTCCTTTGAATTTTTGGCTCAATGTTTCATTGGCAAGAGTATCATCTACTATCGGGACGGAATTGCCATCTAGGTTTTTATGGATATTATGTCCGGGTACAAAATACGTAGTAGCCAAGCATAAGTTGTATTTGCATCTGCACTCTTCAAACCTCTTTCTGTTTTTTCTTTTCAAATTTTAATCGATTATATTTTTCATGGTAAAGTCTTCTTGTCACTTTTGGATTTAGGATGTAACCGAGTACATAGGAGTGAACATCTGTCGCTTTCTTAACAAGTAGTATTTCCTGTAATATGAAGAAATTTTTTGAGATACTATGTCCATTTTTTATTTTTTTTTGATGAAGTAAGTGGTATATTAATAACAAAAGTATCCAGAGAATGCAGAATTACAAAATAGGAAAAGTATCAGCTCATAATGTAGCCAAAAACAATCAGTGGATTATAGAGCTGATAAATTCCAAAAAGAGGTCAGGATTATATACAGGGGTATGGTTAACCCAACTAAAAAGGAAAACTAAACATCTAGCCTTAAGTTGATATCTGGCAGTTGAAATACCATCAAAGCATCTTTGATTCCTTTCTGTCCATAAGCACCACCAAATAGAAGCAGGAACCATAGACCAGATTTTCTTGATGGATTTGTCAACTTCCCAGTAGCTCCAACACACAAAGGCTTCCCTGACACTGCATGGCATAGTCCAATGCAGTCCAAAAGGTGCGAGGAACATAGACCATATGTCAGTTGCAACTGAACAATGTAGAAACAGGTGATTGATCGATTCAGAGTCGCAGAGACACATGTGACATCTGTTGGCTAATTGGAAATTCCTTCTGGTGAGGTTATCTTGAGTTAGGCAAGCACCATGTAGAGCAGTCCAGCAGAAAGCACTGATCTTTGGAGGGAGCTTCGTCTTCCATATAAGTTTCCACGGCCATCGATCAATCAATACTTTATTAGAGCTCAGATTAAAATAACTTTCTTTGACTGAAAAAGAGCCTCCCCTCCTTTGAGAAACTATGTCCATTTGTCCACAAGATGCTGTTTTATGATTGTGTCTCATATTAAAGATGCGGCAAGGTTGAATTGTGTATTATCAACTTATGTATTTCCATTTTTAATGCTATGCAGGAGAAATTGAAAGTGCACGTAAATGTTATCCATGCATTACTATTCATATGGTAATGGTTTTGCTCGTGTGAGCTATCAACTTTTCTGAAGCATAGTGGTAATACTAATATCCCATACATTAAGTTTATTTACTTCCAAACGTATTCACTTTTTAAAGTTTCTTGTTCCTTTGTGATTGAGATTATGTTTTTAGTTTCCAGTGGAGCAATCATTTTGAGAGTGATACACTCCATGCGTCTTGAGAGACTGTTATAAAACTGATATTGCTTTATATGTAAGTGTGTTGTGATATTTGCATGGAGTGCTGAAGTGGATGTTATTTTCACTGCTCCCTCTTGACGTGTTTACTCTCCCATTCACATTCATTTATCCTCCCTTATTTTGGTTTGCTTTCTCCCATGGTGTGTATGTGCATGGACTAGAGTTTATTCAGTCTTCAATTTTAGCTATTCTTTTGCTTTAGGAAACCAAATCCATTGGTTCCCGTAGAAACTCACTCCACCTATAATTTGTTCTATGAGAAACTTGGTAGACCTTGCATACCCTTGTTTTGCATGCTGGATAACCCAGCTTTTTCTGTCAATTGTGTTGACTTGGTGTAATAAATCATTTTCCTAAATTTCAGACTTCAGAAGCTAGTTCTTTATTCACTTTGATTTGGAATCACTCCTGTAGTTAGGGAATATGCACTTTCATGCATGCCTCCAGAATACTCGCTATCACTTCTCTATAGATTGGAGAACACTGTATTTTTCCACTTGTTCTAAAAGAAGTAATTTAAAAGATGAATGTGGAAACTTGTGTTTTTCCTTTTCCTCTGGGTCAGTTGTTGCTTGTCATTATAGGGATGGAAAGATAACTATCGATATTATACATCCTAATTTTCCTGATAGATTAAGAAGAGGTCATTTTTTATATATACAGCTTTTAAGTAGCTAGAGTGTTTAAGATTTCAGTGTCATCATGGCATGAAGATTTCCTTCATGGTTGATACAACTAAGGCTTCTGCTGAAGGATAGACTGTTTTGTTTTATTCTCCTGTAAAATGGGTAAGCAATAAAGATATCATAATTTAGGGCTGATCAATGAAGATCCTTTATTCTCTTGAATGGAGGAAAATTTATTACATGATGAAACTTTGATGTGATTAGATAATGGATCTCACCTATATAAAAAAAAAATCTTCAATCTAAAGTGAACTCACCTACCTCTAGATTTAAATGAGAATATTTAATCTTACTTTTAGAAATTAAATGCATTTTTTCCATTATTAAAGTGTAGTATTCGTTAATCAAAAACTTATGGTTTGTTTGATACCGGTTAGCACTATAAGTACATCACTTGTGCCTTATCGGTTGTCTGCTCATCGATCTTCAATTCCTGCTGAAGTTCCGAGTCAGCTCGGAGCTATGTTTTTCTGTATAATACACGACATGAAAATATTAGATGCTGCTAAATACCTGCCTAATGTATTTTACAATGTACAGGTTAACCTGGTAGTTCTACTAGATTGTACATTCTTACAGAGAATAGACTGATTAGATACCGCTCTAACATCCATTCAGTGTTGATGAATGTTCACTGGAGAATTTGATGAAAGAATTATTGTTACTGTTCAAGTGTGTGTTTATCTTTCTGATTCGTTCTCTTTTCATATGTTATGGGTTTTTTGTTTTTTCTTTCTCAAAAAGTGTGTTTATCTTTTGATTCTAGTTTGCATATCAGGCTAAAGGCGTCCCAGTTCAAGCTTAGTTCATAAAAGCGTTACAGTGCGTATAGTAAGATATTAGGCTGGTGGCAACACAATGGAGCCAATAAATCCTAGTCTTGCTGGAAAGCAACGATTACGTTGGACCCATGAGCTTCATGAACGTTTCGTTGATGCCGTTGCACAACTTGGTGGCCCGGACCGTAAGTTCTCAGAGTTTAGTTGTAATTGTGCTCCTATCTTCCCTCTTAACCCGCCTTTGCACTCTAGAAAGGAAAAAAAAATCTATAAGAGAAAAGAATCCTTATTGACTTGCTAGGGAGGCAACCTTCCTGCTGTGCTTTGGACAATATAGTACTTCAGATATATGGATCACAAATAATTTGATCTTTTCCTATGATTATCTGTGTGTCTTACACCTTGCCATTAATCAGTTGCTACGCTTCTAGATGCAGCGCCTAGAAAACCTCTAACAATAAATAATCATTAGGGGAGGTGTGATCCTGTATTTCTACATTTGGGCTTTGAGATTATTTAATGTTTCTGACGTAATTTCTTTTTCTGATTCAGGTGCTACCCCTAAAGGTGTTCTTCGAGTCATGGGTGTGCAAGGGCTAACTATTTACCATGTAAAAAGCCATTTACAGGTACACATGCAGCAGCAAAATATTCTGAAACGTCTTCTGACTCGTTATTTTCTTAAAAAGGAATTTCATTGTAGTGACTAAATTGCATTCATTTGCCTGTTCATTCAGAAATATCGACTTGCTAAATACCTTCCAGATTCCTCATCTGATGGTAGGTTCCATTAGAATTCAAAATGTCAGACGATGGTTATTTCTTAAAGCTTTAAAGAGACTTAATTCATTTGAAATGTGGTGATTTTATGCTTCTCCAGTAAAACACTTTCTGATATCTTTTTTGCCCGCAATTGTGATTGCAAGGGAAAAATTCTGACAAGAAAGAATCAGGGGATATGCTTTCCAGTTTGGATGGTTCATCGTGAGTAGATTTTCCCTGTTTGCTTGTCTATCTGTTTATGAAGACACAAGCATTGAATCTTCCATAATTTACACTAATTTGCTGTATATACCTACTAATGCCTTGCATTCTCCATTCTGATCATCTTTCTTCTTTAGCTGAAATATTTATAATTTGACACGAGGGAATTATTGCTCTTTTCTAGCGCCGGTGTGCAGATAAATGAGGCTCTAAAACTGCAGATGGAGGTGCAAAAGCGACTGCATGAGCAACTGGAGGTATGTTCTCCTGGCGCTTCTTGAACAATTCTTTTGAGAAAGAATAACAATTTGTGTATACATAATATATATAGCGCAAAAGCAGTGGATAGATGCCATATTTACAGTACAAAAAACCTTTATCCTCACTCTTCTTACAAGGATTCTGGAGCTTCTTGAATCATTTTGGTTAATTAAAGCATGAGAAGGGATAGAAAGTGAAGAAACGTTGTTTGATTAGCAAGGAAGTTATTTTCAACCTGTTCGAGAGTTTTGTCTTTCAACAGTTACCAAAGTTTCAAGGAGATGTTAGCCACCTGCTTTTTCTCTATTTTTGGTCATCCTATTTTTAACTGCTACTTTTATCTTAAACTTGCCTGCTTTTTCTCTATTTTTGGTCATCGTATTATTAACTTCTACTTATATCTTAAACTTGCCATTGAAACAAACATGTGTAAGAACATTGTTTCCCCTCTGTTACTTGTCTTTAAAATACATTGATTGAGGCTTTAATTGTCTTCCTCTTCAAATGTTGTCCTATCTGCTCTATATATCCCCCTGGAGACATGAAAGAAGCTCTTTTACTAGTTAGATGTATAGTAGCTGACCTTGATCCTGCATTTCATTTTAGATGAAAATATGTAGTAACTAAATTATCCATTTTCCCAAGTCCAGCATCTAAATTCCAATATTTGTTTGTGGCCTTCCAATTGCACATCTTCAAACATTTCCCTTGAAATCTATCTGGATTTGGTTTCTTTCATCATAAGCAGAGATATATTGAGCATGCTTTGTGAAATGAACTGATATTTATTTGTATACAGATAACTTGCTTCATTTTCACTTCATCTCATATATCAGTTTGATAAATAGGAAGTTATGGGACTTGGATTTTATTCCAGCAAAAAGTTTAGGGATTTTGAAAGTTACTTGTCACCACCTCCTATTACTTAGTTTTCTACTTTTACAGGTTCAAAGACAGCTACAGCTTAGAATTGAAGCACAAGGAAAGTACTTGAAGAAGATAATCGAAGAACAACAGCGGCTCAGTGGAGTTCTCTCAGAAGTTCCTGTTTCTGGGGTCACTCCTTCACCAGCAGCAGGTGAAAATGGTCCAGAATCTGATAACCGGACTGATCCTGGGACTCCTGCACCAACATCCGAGTATCCTCTCGTTGATAAGCCTGTACAAGAACATGCCCCTACCAAGAGCCTGTCTATCGATCAATCATTCTCCTCGCAACATGAGCCTCTTACTCCAGATTCTGGTTGCCGTGAGACTTCTCCAATAAACAGCCCTAAAGGTGAAAGGTCATCAAAGAAACAAAGAGTAGGCGCATTTACTAAAGCAGATATGCTACTTCCCCACCAGATATTGGAATCAAGCTTGAGCTCACAATACCAGCAATCAAATCCAGTAGACTTCTTGGCGAGCGACCAGTTCAATCTTTCATCAGGATTGTCTCTTGGCAATGAAGGTTCAAAAGTTTCTGGGAGTAACATGTAAGTTACTCCATATTTGCATGATGCATGTGCAATAGGACTTCAATTGAACTACTATGTGTAGTCTGAAAATATCTGTTCTCATTCAGTCACAGATGCTACTTTGTTTACTGAATGTACTAGGTTAAATATACCTTTTATTCTCAAGAATTACTTTACAACTCTTGCTTTATAGTCACTCTTAACAAAGTTCTGAATTCTTGCCTACTTCACTTGCATTACTTACTGATGCTAGATACTAATGGAGTACTATTTTCTGTTATTTGTAACTCGATAGTATTTCACTAATTTTTAATAACTTCTCAACTGTGAGCTACAATATATAACCAATTATTGTGCACATCAAAATTTTTAATTCACAATCTAGACACTAAATAATACTATGAACTACAATAGTTAAGATTCAAATACACGAGCGGATTGAAAAAAACAGATTGCAGTCTACAACAAATTAAAATATGATACACCTATAGGTCATGGGTTTTCTCGGTGTGATTTATATGTCATGGGTTTGAGTAGACTGTTTACATCACATCCCTTGGGGTACGGTCCTTCCCCGACCCTGCGTGAATGTAGGATGTCTTGTGCACCAGGGTGTCCTTTATACACCTATATATATATAAGTGTCATCAACTATATATTCGCAAATTCCATTTGTAATAATTATCTAAAAAACCACATAGCTAGAAACATATACACAAGAATTAGTTGTTAACATTAATCAACTTTATATTTCAAATCAAAAGAATGGCAACAAGAGCAAGAACCAGGCTGCTTCCTTTACAACTGCAAATGGCATACCTTGAAAAAAGCTTCTTTCTTTGCATAAACACTACTTCTAAATGAATTAATTGCTACAATTTACTGCATGATCTAATTCTCCATCCTTTGAGTTCTCTTTTTCCTTTTTTTCGACATATATAAATATTCCCATTAGGAAACCCTATTCGGTTTACTGTAATATTGTTGCTATAATTCATGGCATCTTTTGCAAGATAATTTCCCTTGTTATTTTTCATGAGGTGGAGATTATTGAATATGATCTGAACTTGATGATGTTAGTATCTGTATTCGAAAAATATAATTTCTGCAAAATAAAACGAAACAAGAAACAAAAAAACATAAATAGAATCAGATGAATAAAGTTCCGATTCCAAAAGAAAATTGTGTTTCCTTAAGGAATTTAATCCCCTCACTGTTGCCCAAGGTTGTTGGATTAATTCCTCTCAGAATAGAACGGAACAACTATTTTGTAATACCGGCGATGAAAATTACAGAATTTCGTCGAACTCAACAAACGGGAGTAAACCATACTGATGCTTACGTTTTGCTATTGAAAACAATGCAGAAATGCAAAAGAGAAAGGGGAGAGTATGCAGATTTCGATGGTCAGAAAGTGAGGCTAAACCTCTGAATTTATAGCCAAACAGTCTGGACATTTCTGTTTGGCCGCGAATTTTAAATTCAAAAACGACCGTTAGTGCGTTAGGAAATTATCCGAGAAATAAAATCTGCGCGAAAATAAACTGAAGTCGAGCCGAGCCGAGCGAGCGAGCGACGATGGCACGAGACACCACTTCTTCTCAACTCTTTAAGAGCTAGAAGATGTGCTTCTCTATATAAGCAGATAGATTTTCTTTCCATTTTTCAATGAGGGACAAAGTGCATTAGTAAAGGAAACAAGTTCAAACTTTTCGTTTCCCTCTAAATTTTTTCCATCCATTTCTCATTCACACCTTTTATCTAATTAGATAAAAATCCAACAATCCCCAACATGAATGGGGAATGGCTATCTGAAAATATGCATGCATGAAAAACTGTGTGATTTACAAGCAAGGATTAATTGCATATGGATAAGTAGGTTTTCCTTTGAACTTTTCATAGTGAACTTTTGTCGGATATACTCGGTCAATCGGTAGATTTGATATCTTTGAACCGTTGAACTTTGGTGTATACCTAGACATCCATAAGTCACACAATCAACCCTTTAACAGCCTTTGGTTGTCATTGTTGTGTTTGTTTCAGCCATGAACACCGCCTGGTTCATAAGTGCGTAGAGAACTGACCTTACAGAATTCTCCTTGAATTGGCTTACACTTCACACTTATATAGGTAATTCCTAAACGTGTTATCCTATAGATACACATATTTGATATACTCAGTATCAAACTTAGAAATCATTAAAAAGCCTTAACACTTTATCCTTGGTACTGAACATTGTCTCATCAAGAGAATAGATCAAAATTTTATTTGACAATGTTGAACCGTCACTAATGACTTTGTTTGATCTCCTTGAACCTAGATCTTGGGATCTCTAATCTTCTAGGTAGAGTTACCGCCACAGTGACTTGTCCTCAGTCATAGTCCCATTTCCTTCGATGATTTATCAATTACCTCTCTATTTAGGCCTTTTGTAAGTGGATCTGACACATTATCTTTTGACTTTACGTAGTCAATTGTGATAATTCCACTAGAGAGTAGTTGTCTAACGGTATTATGTCTTCGTCGTATGTGACAAAATTTTCCGTTATACATAACGCTTCCAGCCCTTCCTATTGTCGCTTGACCATCCCATTGTAGAGCGAGCAATGCATGTCTATTTGGATGATTTCCAAGAAACAACTCCTCCACCAATGGTAAAAACATATCCACTTGTGGAATTTGTTTCTGATGATCCACTGATCCAATTTGCATCACTATATCCTTCAATTACCGCAGGATACTTATTCTAATGCAAAGCATAATCTTGGGTATGTCTTAGATACCCCAAAACTCGTTGCATTGCCATCCAATGAGTTTGGCCAAGATTACTTGTGTAACGACTCAGTTTACTTACTACGCAAGCTATATCAGGACGTGTTCAATTCATGATGTACATTAAACTTTCCAACACACGAGCATAATCCAATTGAGATCTGCTTTGACCTAGATTCTTTGTAAGAGCCACATTTACACCAATCGGGGTCTTTGCAACTTTGAAATCTAAATACTTGAATTTTCAAGTACCATTTTAACGTAATGAGATTGAGACAATGCCAGTCCTTGAGGAGTCATATGGATTTTAATTCCTAAAATTAAATCAGCAATTCCTAAGTCTTTTATATCAAACTTGCTATCAAGCAGTCGCTTAGTAGCATTTATATCCACAATATCTTTGCTTATTATTAACATATCATCAACATATAAACATACAATGACTATATGATTTGGAGTGTTTTTAATGTAAACACATTTATCACACTCATTAATCTTAAATCCATTTGCCAACATTATTTGTTCAAATTTCTCTTGCCATTGTTTGGGTGCTTGTTTCAATTCGTAAAGTGACTTAACAAGTCGGCACACCTTCTTTTCTTTTTTGGGAAACACGAACCCTTCAGGTTGTTCCATATAAATTTCTTCCTCCAAATATCCATTTAAAAGGGTTGTCTTTACATCCATCTGATGGATTTCAAGACCATACACGGCGACTAACGTTATTAATACCTAAATAGATGTAATCCTCATTACCGATGAGTATGTATCAAAATAATCAAGACCTTCTCGTTTTCTAAACCCTTTGACAACTAATATTGCCTTATATTTGTCAATAGTACCATCAACTTTCATTTTCCTTTTGAAAATCTACTTAGAACCCAATGGTTTATTTCCTAAAGGAAGATCAACCAATTCCCAAGTATGATTACTTAATATGAATTTTATCTCACTATTGACTGCCTCTTTCCAATATTGTGCTTCCGAGGAAGACATTGCTTCTTTAAACGTTTGAGGCTCATTTTCCAACAAAAATGTCAGAAAGTCTGGTCCAAAGGAAGTAGTTGTCCTTTGACGTTTACTACGTTTTGGATTTTTCTCACTAAACGTACTTTCCTTTGCTTCTTCTTGAGGTCGCTTAGATTTTTACTAGACGACTTGCATTCATTTTTATACGGATAAATATTTTCAAAGAATTCAGCATTATCGGATTCGATTACCGTATTTATATGAATGTCGGGATTTTCTGATTTATGAACCAAAAAATGATATGCCTTACTATTTCTTGCATATTCTATGAAAACGCAATCAACCGTCTTCAGTCCAATCTTCACCCTTTTGGGTTTAGAAATTTGCACTTTAGCCAAACACCCCCACACTTTAAAATATTTTAAGTTGGGTTTCCTATCTTTCCATTTTTCATATGGAATGGTTTGAATTTTGCTATGGGGAACTCGATTGAGTATTTGGTTAGCTGTAAGAATAACTTCTCCCCACAAGTTTTGGGGTAAACCCGAACTTATCAACAAGGCATTCATCATCTCCTTTAATATTCTATTCTTTCTTTTCGCAATTCCATTAAATTGCGGTGGGTAAGGGGTAGTTGTTTGGTGAATAATGTCATATTCCAAACATATTTCTTCAACTGACTTATAAGGATGTTTAACATACTTAGATTCCACACATATTTGACATTTTAAATTATCGCATTCAAATTTAGGCAATACTTCCAAGTTAACCATTTTTTGCATAGTTTTGAAGTTGACGTGACCTAAACGTGCATGCCATAAATTATTTGGCTCGAATAAGTAAGAAGAAGCTTGAACCTTATTGATGTCAATAGCTATTACATTCAACTTGAAAAGCCCCTCAGTTAGGTAACCTTTTCCTACATACACATCATTCTTACTTATTACAACTTTTTTAGAAACAAACGTTCGTCCTCGAACGAGTATAGAGACATACCTGAAGTGGTGAAAAGATGAGGATAACGGCTATGCATAGCATGCTCGGTCTCCCAAGTCGCCTCCTTGACTGGTTGAACCCTCCAATGAACCTTCACTGAAGCAATGTTCTTCGACCTTAACTTTCGGACCTGCCTATCTAAAATGGCCACTGACTCCTCAACATAAGATAAATCCTTGTCCAACTAGACTGAGTTGATATCCAACACATGAGACGGATCGATGTGATACTTTTGGAGTGTAGAAACATGGAACACTGTATGATCTGCAGCTAGACTAGGTGGTAGTGCAAGCTTGTAGGCCACCTCTCTAATCCTCTCAAGAATCTCGAAAGGTCCGATATACCCAGGGCTCAGCTTGCCCTTCTTCCCGAACCTCATAACACCCTTCATGGGTGAAACCTGAAGCAAGACCTGCTCCCCAACCATGAATGCAACGTCGCGAACCTTCCGATCCGCATAACTCTTCTGTCTAGATTGGGCTGTGCGA